CACTGCCCAGCGCCTCTTTTCCGCACTTTGAACGGCAAATGTGTGATACTCGTGCGCTACCCTTCCCGCCCACGAATGGATTTTTGGACACAACCTCATCTAGGATTGTTGCTTTGATATGTACAAGATGCGGGAATTGAATCCCAGCAGGGGGCCGCATGCTCAATGTTGGGAAGGGGACGGGGATGGGTAAATGTTGGGGAGGTTCGTCGCAGGACCCACTGGGCAACGGCCGCACCTTGATTTTGCAGCTTTGTTTCCATTCTTTCATCGCTGCTTTTGGTGTAAAGAAAGGTATTTACGTGCGAATATACAATCAACAGTAAAAGGATGGAAACAAAGCTGCAAAATCAAAGGTGCGACCGTTGCCCAGTGGGTCCTGCGACGAACCTCCCCAACATTTACCCATCCCCGTCCCCTTCCCAACATTCAGCATACGGCCCCCGGCTGGGATTCAACTCCCGCATCTTGCACATATCAAAGCAACAATCCTAGATGAGGTTGTGTCCAAAAATCCATTCGTGGGCGGGAAGGGTAGCGCACGAGTATCACACATGTGCCGTTCGCGGCTTCAAAGTGCGGAAAAGAGGCGCTGGGCAGTGCTTACAAGATGATCTGGGACCGTATCCTTCGTCCAGGGAGAAGCGTCCCCCACCGCTGATCCTATCATTTAATGGGGAGACAGCGTTGCTTCTCATAAGAACAGCTATACTCTGCGTTTCTACACTCAGACAGTGAAACCCCTCAGAAAGTGTGCCTCAAAGGGGGGGGGTAGCTACAACATAACAGTAGGGTCTTAGGACGAAAACCTGTCTCCTCTCTCCTAAGCTTAAGATAGGATCAGCGGTGGGGGATGCGTCCCCCTGAGGGTAGGATTGGATACGGTCCCTGATGGCGACTAATGTGAACTTATGAACGAGATACCTTCACGCGCACCCCGTGATACACCGCGAAGATTAAGACATTGCAAAAAACTCAAATACGCAGGTACTAGTGAAGTGGTACAACAAGTAAGTTCAGACAACTCGTTCGAATCACTCCCTCTCATTTCTAGGCAAAGGGAGGAAGGCCCTATCTGAGGACTTCAACGACGGTTAGCTTTGCTTTTTTCAGTTTCAGTCATTTCGATACCCACACTTTCATTATCGACCGCTTTTACCCCGCCATTTTCATCTGGGGTTGCTGCTTTCAAGCAACAGCCCCTGCAGGGTTTTGACAATTCGATTCTAATAGGGTGGAAAGATGCACTAGCCCTAGTCAACTATATATGAAGTGCCACTGATTCAAAAACTCACCTTTGAAAGTTGTTGGAATGGGAGTCTAACGACTTCGAAGTGGGCGGGGCAACCGGCCCCGGCCTCGACGCCCACTTGCAGCCGTGGAGAGCGCGTGCTTGGATGCGGGTCCTTGCGCGATTGCTTGTAACTATCCCGCGTTTCGAAATTAATGCTGCGTCTTTTGATTGGTTTTACTTGTTTAACTCATTTAATTATTGTATCTTTTTGTTTGTACTGATGCATATGTCTCTGTTTGTATTAGGGCAAATGCGATTGCAGCCGCAAAGAAATGCAAGCCAATTCAGACAACTCGTCCGACCGCCCCTCCCCTCATTTCAAAGGGGAAGAGGGGAAGCCCCTGTTTAAGAACTTCGCCGACGTTTTCAGCCGTTTTTTACCCCGAAAATTCGATATGAAACTGATGCTTTAAGCCACGCCAGTTACTACTGCAATACCCCCTTCCATAGAACTTCGTGCCTACAACTATGAAAAATATTGAAGCTATGTCCTTTGAAATTTATTATAAAAACACGTTCTTACCACATAGTAGACAGATCACTGCAGTTTGATAAAATAAACCCACAAGTTCTCTCTTTGAATAGTCACCGCCTCAAAAGCAAACAAAAGGGTCATCCATAGAGGCGTACCTCATTGGTCGCGTATAGTTCGTTGGTGAATGCGAAATGCTGTGCGGCTGTCGCAGTTGGAGTACTCAGCGATGGATTCTTGAAATTTCGCTTAATGTTTTCAGTTTTCGAAACAAGGCGATATTGAATTAAGGAATAAGCTTCACAATCACATCACGTCTATTAGCGCACATTCACTAGCGCATAACACAAAACAAAAAGATACGGCCAATATCACCATATGCCTCGTTGCTACTTTTGCGTCTACGTCTATATCTATCTACAAAGACATCACGACACGTCTCGAGCCTTTGTAGGGTCGAAACATATTTTCGTCAAGATAACCGAGAAAGCCTATGATGAGCGTTCGACCCCACTATTGATAGCACACTATCACTACAATTTCTCACGAGCAGCACCTCTGGTGATGTGCCATTCGCGGTTGTGGAATGTGTAGCCGTTGATGCAAGTGAATCATCCTGCGTATTCAGCGTAGTCGCGGTCGATGATATGACACCGCCCTGAACCCCATGAACACCTTATATGGAAAATAAACAACAGAAGAACGATTACGCATTTCCGAACTGTGCAGATAACCTCACTGCCATTCCTAAGAGGAGGCACACACTAACGAGACTAAATGATAACCATAGAACTGATTTTGAACCAATGAAACTAACCGATCGAGACATAATAATTGGAAGCAAAACGGCATGTGATTTCCTGACTAACCTCGTTCTGACTTGAAATAGTGGAGCTAGCATCATCATCCTGAGCACTTGTTGAATTTTGCTGAGTAGATGTAGACGTGACTAGTTGAACTAACTGGACGCCACCAGCACTATTTGTTCCGGGTCTTCTAAAAAATGTTTGGCACTGACCATGAGGCAATGCAAGACAACTACAGATACTTACGAGGTGATGACGGTGGTCTTTGCGTTGACTGCGTTCGGATTGCCAGTTGGCGAAATTGTTGAAACACTAGCGTTTGTGGCCGAGGATGAAGCAGCTATGCGTCCTGCGGCCACACTATTATACGGAATGCCAGGAGGCGGTGGAGGCGGCGTAGCTTGATTAACACCGCTTAATGAGGTCAACTGTCCAGTTTCGATCGATCCATCTCTGAAAAAAACATAGATAAGATTACTAAGGGTAGGCTGCTTTGCAGCGGATTACGGACTAACTTCGCTAACTTTGCGGGAGTGACTGGTACAGAAGCTGCAGCTACCGTCCTACGTGGGGCAGGACTAGCCGGTGTGTCTTGACTTCCATGTCGCGAGCCACCACTTCGGGAAACCCCATCATCGCCGCCAGAGCTATCGTGAGTTGATCCATTGTCATGACCTTAAATCGACGGGGTAATCATCTCCTCACATGAATGTTCCTTTCAAACCCACCGTTCTCCTTCTCTTCATCCAGCGGACCGATTTGAATGCCTCCAATTTGAGCACTAAGTGCACCCAAATCTAATTCCTCGTAGGCATCTAGAAAAATAGATCACATATGATGGCCAAATTTTGAAAATTTTAGGTTCAAACTGAATCTACCTTCTGGATCAAGGTTATCTAACTCGTCGGCATCTCCTTCGTAATCCGGATCGAGTGCTTCAATATACATTTCCAATGGATCTTTTAGAACTTCCATGACACGCTTTGACTCCAGAGACTCATTGTTCACCATTCGCATGCAAACCTACACAAAAACCAACATAGTATAAAAACAAAAACCGCAACAGGTCATTGAGCGAATTCGGAACCCAATTTTAATCTTATTCGTCTTTGTCTTTTCGCTCTCATGAGATGAAGGAAAATCGGCAGTAATCAATAGTCTAGAGATGAATAGGAGTCGAGTCGGGATCGTTGAATGACTGCATTGCAAGACTAATTCTAATTTGTCAAGTACAACTTCGACAACGATTGATCATTGTAACACACAATAACTTGAAGTAACGAAAATGCGTCTACCTCAAGTTTCCCAATGTGGAACTTCATCCTATCAAGATGCCGCTTCAGCTCCTCCATGCGCTTCTTAAAAAAAAGATTGAGGAAAGTTATCAAATCGTAGATGAAGCAAATAAAAGTTTTAATGCCAGTTTACGCACACGGTACATGGATCGAACTGATCAATGCCGATCCCTGATTTATCTCCCCTTCAGTTACATATAGTTCATGAACTGATGTACTCTCAGAAAATCTACGCAGCATTTCCTTTCTGGATATTTCGTTATGTCTTGAAATATATCTGTTCGTCAGCCCACATAAAACAATACTCATTGGTGTAAAGTGAGAGAAGTTTGGATGTTAATCGGAGTGAATTGAAGAGCACCCAAGTTATCTGCTAGTGCTTATGTGGTGACATTGCGGTGAATTCGCCTTCTTGAGAGAAACTTCCTCCCCTGCACACATAAAGCACAATGTAAATAATTTAAACTGTTGGCATGCTCAAAAATATACATCACTCAAAAGCAAAGGCTACTCAGATTTAAAGACATGTCCCCAATAGAGAAGCACGTTTTTTTTTACTCTGTTACGAAGTACATAAATGAGCGCTCTGGGTGAGACCATACTTCTACGGTTGGTGTCAGAGTCCGCGATCCGTCGCAGGTTTCGCTCACTTCCGCTATTTTCACGATTCGCGCGATTTGCGCGAAACCTGCGACGGTTCGCGGACTCCGACACCAGCCTATAACTTCGCTTACAGTCTAGCAATCTAGAACAGACATAAAACAAAAAATAAACAAAAATGAAAAGTAAACTCCTGGAAAATTCCGACCAACTCATATGAATTTTCGAGTCACTACTAGAAAGGGTCTTGCAACTGCACAACTGCGACTTGGCATATCCGCAGTAGAGAAAGTGAGTTCATCTACAATTAGCTAAGCAACAGAAAATGTTGGTGAATTCTATTGCCTTCATGAATAAGAAGAAGGCAAGTTAGAAAAACAGAAGAAAGGTAAGTAAAAGGATTGAAAACAATATGGGAAATAAGCGAAAACAGCGACGCTCACCGCGTACATTTCCTCAGGATCTCCTTTATTCAATTACAGTGTGTGCGCAATTGAACAGACACGATACTGAACGCGGTGAGGGCGTTGAACGATTACTTTAAAGATAGTTCAAAAATGCGACAAAACGGGGACAACTGTCCAGTCGACCATAATAGGCAAGTTTAGAAAATTGAAATATGAGTGTTTCCAAGTTAAAAAGTAGAATAATAAATTTAGATGATCCCGAACCAAAATTGATGAGTAACTGAGGGAAAGACGACTTTCCAACTGCGGATGATCAATCCTTCAATTTTACACTTCAAAAGCTGTGAACTGAATTACATGCAATGTTTTGGTAGGAAACAAGATAGTCAAAACGACCACTCTGAAGGTCCCCTTATAACCGAAGGTATGACCTAAACAGGGTGTGGTTCACTAGGATAGAAAGCGACTTTTTCGCGTTTCGCAGCGCGAAACATTGTTCGTTGCGGGAATCTCGGGTCCACTGATGATTCGCTGCGGGAACCTCGGGTCCACTGATGATCAGCGTGGACCAGAAAATGTTTCGCGCTGCGAAACGCGAAAAAGTCGCTTTCTGTCCTAGTGAACCACACACACCTAAACATCAATCTCAAATGGCACCTGGGAAGATTAAATGCTCACCTCCTTTTCTCCCTTCTTTCCGTCCTCTTTTTTTCCTCGCCGCTTTCCAGCGTCCAAAGTTGACAAGGATTCAATTTGAGATTCGGTGCGATCAGCCTCATCACTAAGTTCTCGTATTTGACTCTTAAAAACCACGTTGAATTCGTTAAAAACCATTATAGAGCAAGTGAAAGCAAAGCACACCAATGATCCGCTATGAAAAGGTAAAAGAATGAAATAAATGGAACATAATAACTAACGGACCTGCAACCATTCGATCGTATCAACCTTTTCCTTCTCTCGCGGATCCAACTTTTCTTCAGCGCTCAAGCCCTTGAGAACACGAATATCAAAAGGTACTTATATACTACATTGGAAAAGAGACATCAAGATAATACTGCGCTTATGAGCCACCTGTTTGCTATGGGGTTTTGTCTTGTTCTCTCGTTCAATATCCTTGAACTGCTCCATTCTTTGCTCGATAATCTTGCGATAATGGGTCAATTTGTCTTTATCCTAGGACGGTGGGAGTTAATCGACTGAGTTATTTGTGCCAAAAGACAAGAAGAAAATATGTCACAAAAGTACATACGGGTACCTTAATCTCCGAGCAGTTTTGCCATCCTTTCACTTGATCTCTCAACCGCTGCAGTTTTTTAATCTCTTTTTTCAAGTCATCCTGCAACAACTGATGACTTGAAAACTGGAGTCACTTGGAAACTGGAGTGCGTATCATGCATATAGAAGTTAATATAAACCTGGTACTTTTCCCGTTTGGTTTATCACTATTTGCTTCGTGCATTTTCACCATAGTCTCTTCGAACAGTTCTACACCTTCGTCGATCTGAAAACTTGTT